TTTAGTGCCTGACATTAAATTCACTCTTACTTTGGTCGATGCCTGAGGGAGTAAATCCCCATAACTGTCATTATTAACACTTGGCTTACGCTCAGCATCCAGTAATGTCTGTACAGCCTGAATTTATCTTTTTTTAAATGACCCTGATCAGTTTTTACCAACACCTGTGAAACACTTTGAGTTATATAGCTTGTGAAATGTTGAATCACGTTACACTCACCTGCTCTTTCTCCGTCGTAATACGGCGTTCGACTCCAAGGTAACCTTCTCACAGTTCTCAGCCTCCTCCTCCTCCTCTGAAAGCTGCACCTCCAGGTTGATGTGGCTGGGCGAGGAGGGGCAGGGGGAGGCAGCAGAGGAGCCGTGAGCAGGTGAGTCCTGAGAGCAGGAAGAGGAGGAGGTTCTTTGACTTTCATCTTCAGACAGGTTTTCGGACCAGGAGGACACCAGTTGCTGGAGATCACTGATTTTCTCCAAAACGCTGTCCAGAGCTGAGAAAACGTCCTCGCCTGCCAGCACTCGGCTCACCTGAGAGAGATAACGAGGTCAGAAGAATAACTTAGTTAACTGGTTCTGTTTAGTAGGTGAACAACAAGAAGGAGCCCAGATGGCAATTAATGTTTGGCCCACATATTCCTGTTTGCTGTGGGGCCCCTCAGATGCATAAAAGATGTACAAAGGAACTGAAGCAAGAGACAAAAGGTACAGTAATGGAAAGAACACCTGGCTGGAACCAAGCAGAGTGTTTTATTCTTTTAAATCAGTTTGGTTGGGGTGACTACAGCAAAAAGTACATTATTTACACCTTCTCCACCCGTCACAAACAGGAAGTATAAAGAAGGGAAAGCGACATGAAGACCCTCATTTATAACAGGTCAGGCATCACTAACAGCAGATGTAGATTTAACTGGGCTGCAGTCAGGTTGCAAAGAGGTTTGCACATGTTTTAAGCATTTTACAGCAGCTTTAATAGCAGAGGTTGCTAGGATTACAGCTGATACTAGACTCAGTAAATGTATCTTCTGCAGCATCATTGTTGGAGCTTTGTGGGATTTTCTGTGGGATCTGCAAAAATCCCAAATAATGAAAATATCATGCAAACATTATTCTGCTGTATGACTTCTCTATCTCTCTCCTTTTTGTAAGTTAGCAGATTTTGTAATATCAAGGGTTTAATTTTGGGATTTTTCCCACACTCATGGAGCAGAAATAAAAAGCCATTTTCTAATTAATTCAGTAATATTTCTTATCTACTTTTACACGACTTCTAGATTTTGTCAGATTAGTTTACAACTTGATACCAAAGCTTAGCTTAGCAGAATTAATATAATCCATTACGTTAACAACAATATTATATACTTTGATTGGAGATTTTATACTTTTTTGTAGAACTGCAGCAGAGGAAGGGGAACTGAGAGGGCGCCTCCTCCTGTTTTTACCCGTTTTAAATTTCATTTGAAGGTTTAATTTTAAAGCTTTTTTTCTATGAAAACACAATATAGTAAAAATAAATGATGTCCTTATTTTCTACATATTACTATTTGGCTTATAATTATTAATTATATGTCATTTTGAAACTTATGTCTCCACCTGTAAGCGCATACAGTCCCATTTAGGAGTCCAAAAACAGCAATACAGAAAACACTGAAAGGTGGATGCATTATGCTCATTTCCAACTCCACATTTATTTCTTGGACTCTTCTACACTGGCTTTGTATGAGTCAAGCTTCAAAATAATCCTTCTTTGTGTCATTCTGGGTCGACAGTTCATCCTCTGTCTGAATAAGA